TATCTCATTTTAGCCTCTAGGCACGAGAGCGCCCTGTGCCATTGTCTGTCAACACGTAAGGCATCGGGCCCCCAAGGTGACCGTTGCCAGCATGAAAATATTGGTGTTTGCTGTTTCTAAGACACTGGAAATGAAAGCAGACGAGTCTTGTGTCTCAGCTCCATCACAGGCGTTCAGGAAGATGCCAGCCGCCACTGCTGCTAGCTAAAACATCTCCCAAATGCTTCCCGAGGCTGGATGGGGAGTGGGGGGGCAGATCTGCTATGAGTGTTTCTGAAGTCTCTGATAACACATACTTCACCGAGAGACCTTCTCCCGCACGCCCCCTGACACCAGCACAGAGAAATTGAAGGGCAGGCGTTTAAATTAAACTTCATGATTCACAACCTCTGAGCGGCTTGTTGAAGATGCGCTGACTCTTCAGTGGCAGCTCTGCAGAGCCAAGGCGGAAATGCTGGAGGCTGCCCCCGTCCCGGGCACACGCAACAGCCACCCCAAAGCCTTTGGGGCGTTTTCAATTAATTCCTTCAAAAGCCAAGCTGTGGCAGGAGCGGTCCACGGACTTTGTTAGGAAATGAGTTTGCAGCAAGGCTAATCTCCGGGACCCGCGACGATTAGTTCAGAGAAGCTGTCCTTCAGTGCAGGACTTGTTACAGCGGTGGAGAGGCCTGCTGCCACCAGGAAGATGCTGAACACCGATGCCGTGCTCTGCTGCTTGCGCCTCGGTGCTCCGGGCCGGAGGCTGGTGTCTGAGCATCTTGTGCTCCCACTCCTAAACCAGAGGTCACTGCTGCTTCGGATTCAGGCACTCCCCAGAGGTGCGGCTCCCCATCCCACACCGTCCCCTTGCAAAGGGAGACAGGGAGCATGGGCAGTGACTGCACTTTCGAGGGTGTCTTCCCTGGGCCGCTTCCTTCTGGGTGCAGAGCCCAGCCTTTGCTGCGGGCCAAATCCTGGCAGACGCTTGTCCCTCTCCACACAAGTGCCACATGGGAGCGGGTCAGCCTCTGCTCTGCGGCAGCCTGGGAAGTGGAAGAGCAGACGGCATGGCAGGTGCAGCTGGGGCTGCGGTGGTGGAGCGATGCGCCCAGCAGACACAACCCCCTGCTCAGGACTGGGGATGGCAGGTGCAGACTGCAGAGTGGTCTGGGGCCTGGGGCTGCCTTGCAGGTGTGAGAAGTGCTGCACGGGTGCAGGGGCCCCGGGGCCTTGCAGCTGCAGTGACCGCTGACTGCCGCCTCCTTGGCCGAGAACTAAGCTCATTTGCACCGTGAACGTGAAGAAGCCCGGTCTGGGCCCCCACCCTGCCCCCTCGCCCCAAGGGATTCTGCTGCTCCACGAGCTGCCCAGGGCTGTATAACACGCCCCGCCCCCGCCTGCAGGGCGTAAGCCCTCCACGTGCCAGAGCCCTTTGCAAGGAGGTGGCAGAGAAGAGACGACTCCGGGCTGACTCACAGAGGGCCAAGAGCCATTCCCCTGCCCTCACGCTGCCTCCTACTGCTCTCTGCTCACAGGGGAAATCCTGAGCTGAGCAACACAGCCCTCTCTTCCTCGGGGCTTCGGTGAGGACCCAGGTAGCGCTAGCCCTTCAGGCCCCAAACGCCGAGACGGACGGTGCAGAGCGGAGGCTCCTGGCCCCCATCTCTCACTGCCCAGGCAGGCTCCAAGGTGGCAGGGGCTGGGGGCTGCTTTCATTTCGCTGGTGGATTTTGCATTAAACAGGCACCCAGATGAGTTTCCCGGGTGCACCGTGAGTTCAGCACCAGGGATGCAGGCGGTGCTCCCTCCTCCCCACCATGGTGGGTATCGCGTGGGCTCCTCCACAAAGCCGGGCTGCTGAGAAGTGACCAACCCAGAGCCCCTGGCTTTTCCCAGGCAGGAGGGAAAACGCTGGCCAGTGCCACCTCCCTGCTGCCTGCTGCTACCTCACGTCCAGGACGGCGCATGCGGGAGTGTGTCCGCAGCCGTAGCAGCTTGCACGCCACGGTGTTCCCTCACCTGCACGTGGCACCAGAGGCCCCAACTGGGCTCCGAGTCCCCCTGCGCTCGGTGCTGCACAGCCCTTCCCCACAGCTCTCCGAGGCAGGCGAGCAACTTGGCTAAGACGGTGCAGGCAGCGAGTGGCAGGGTCCAAAGCGGAGTCCAGGCCTCTGGAGATTCCTGCTTCCCCTTTCAGGTGAGCGGGGAACGATACGTTGGAGGACGGAACTGAGAACCCGGGAGGCGCCGGACTTCAGGGGCGACTGCCCCAAGGGAAAGCTAGAACATGTGGGCAATGAATTAAAAGAAAAAATCCACACCGTTTTCCACCTTGTGGCAAATTTGTGAGAGCTGACATCAGTCTCGCCTGCAGCCCGACACCACGGGAACTGGCGGACCCCGTGATGGGTGCAGGGGAGAGGGCTAGGGGCTGGGTCCGGCCAGTGAAGGACAAAGCCCTGCTCAGCCCAGGCCCAGCACTGCCCCTGCCCCAAAGTCCCTCTCCCCCGTGCCACTTCCCAGCCTCCAAGCAAAGCTTCGCTGGCCCCACTCTCCCGGGCGCTCCAGCTGGGGCTTCCCAAGGCTCCAAGCCCGCCGGAGCCGCGCAACAGGCGCCGGCTTCCAGGTTATCGGTGCAGCTCCGGTTGCCATAGTAACGCGGGAGGATGCGAGTTCCCCCTTCCACCGCGTGCCATATGCCAACCCGCCAGCCGACGCCTGCTGGGGCCGAGCCGAGAGGCCCCTGGAGGCGCGCGGGGAGGCGCTGAGCTGGAGCGACCAGGGCACAACAGTGGGCAGCCTGCCGGTGCCACTTGGGCTGGAGATGCATTGGCTGGGGGCACAAAGGGAGTTCCCTCCGACCCAGTGCAGGGCCACGAGAGGCAGCAACATGGCCCAGCTCTGCCCCCTGCGGCAGTGAGGTCCACAGGTTTCTGGGCATGCAGGATAGGCCATGGCAGGAGGCTTTGCCCTTCCTGATACCACAGCACCAAGAAAACAGCCCAGGGGAGAGGAAGTACCAGACAGCCTCTGCTGGTCGGGATCCAAGTGCTCTGCATGCGAGCCGTGCAAAGGACTCCTGCCTTGTTTCACTGATGCTTTAATGGCTGTTTGATGGGAGCAAGTCCCAGGAAATGGAGCATAAAACTGGAGGCAAAGAACTTGCCTTTCAGCGCTCCCCTCCACAGGCAAAGTCTGATGCTTCTCCCTCCCTCTCACGTCTTCGGCAGGAGCAAGACGCATCCGCCCCGCCAGCTTGTGACCGCTCATCACTGTCTGTGCTGGGGCAGCGAGCGGGCCCAGGGACACGGCACCGTTGCCCCCGAGAGATGCCCCAGCAGCCACCACGGACGATCCCTCAGCAGGCTTGTGCCAGGAATTACAGTTCCACCACGGGACAATGAAGACATGAAACGCGAGCCCAGCAAACACAGGGCCCCGTTCTCCACTGCACCCTTCTGCTGCTGGGAGCCCACGGCTCCATCCTCATAAGGATCAAGTGGAAATCGTTTTCGCAGCAGGAAACAATTACGTGAGCTAACGGGGAGGTGAGGGCCGAGGCCAAACACTCCTACTCCCTGGCGCATTTCAACACAACAGTTCAGCTGAGCGATTCTCTATAAACCAATTTCCACGCTTGAGGTAGCTGAAAACTTCAAAGGCACAGAGGAGAATGAAAATAATACTAAGGAAACCCGGGCTCGCAGCCTGATGCGCCGGCAGCACTGTCAGCAGCACTGATATTCCCGTGGGAAGGACTCCTCTCTGGAGACCGCTATCCCCGTGCTCGGCGCTCTGACAGAGGTGGCTCCGGGTCCGCCCGCCCTTGCCAGCACCGCTGTGCCGCAGCATCCTGGTCTCAGCACTTCCTGCAGCTCTGGGCCCTGCAAGGCGCAGCTCTTAGCCCTGCAGCTGCAAAGCTGGGATGGCTTAAATCTACGGGCAAACCCCTTCGTTCTTTCACAGCCTCTTACCTGACCTCCACCGCAGGGCACTGGAGCGAGGCGATTTGCAGACGACGTAAGGACAGAACACAGCAGCCTTTGCAAGGGCTGGTGCTAAAAGTCGTTGGGATGCTTTCCTTTTACTTCCACAGGCCTTGACTCAGGAACTAATAGCAGGGGCAGGGCTTACACGTGGATTCCACTTTAACCAAGGCTGGTGCCCCGGCCAGCAGAAGTGTGGGACTTTGTGGGGAGGATGGCTGCTACCCCAAACCGGATGCCACCCAAGCCTTCGCTTTGCTACAGACCTCAGTGTTAGGCCCTGTCTGAAAGGCAGCATTTCTGACACACTGTGTGAGGACGAATGGCACCGACCTACCCACTGCCGTGCTGCCTGCAGCACAGGGCCGGCTTCCCACCCCCATGTGCACTAGTGGAACAGGACTTTGCTCCCAAGAGACTGGCTTCTATGTTGCTTGGATGGGTTAAACCGGGCTGAGAAAACTTGGCACCATTTAGCTTTGTGGCGACTGGAAAATGCACGCAGCACCCACCCCCAACACAACAGGAACCAGGCCCCAAAATGCACCCCCATGCCACGAACAAACCAAGTGAGCAGCTGACTATGGCACAGTGACCAGGTTTGGAAACAAAAAGGGTAAACCCCCAAGGCCCTTCCCCCTGCGCGTCAGAGCCCAGGGCACTGAGCGAGGAGTGCAGGACTCCTCACCCGCGCTTCAGTCTCAGCACTGAGTATCTGCTGCGAAGGGTGCGAGAGATGCCCCCCATGAGGGCATGCAAGCGATGGGCCCAGCTACATCGTAACTCCCTCTGATCGGCCTGAGAGCAGGAGCTCTGCACGTGCCCGCAGCATGCCAGGCAGAGGGGCTGCTGCGATGCACATGAGAGGCCCACGTGGTCATCTGAATTCTGGGCCAGAATTCAGACCCCTGCACCGCGGTGACCACATACATCCTTCTCCTTCCCCCAGAGGGGAAGCAAGCGGGAGGATTTCTCTCCAAACAAGGAGGCAGGAAGTGTTCCCCAGCCCGCACCCAGATCCACCGAGACACCTACCGGAGCGTCTTGCGGATCATGTCCTCATCTGTGATCCCGTAGTAGGTGAGGGTCTCGTTCCAGGTGGGGTTCAGGGTGTTTCGCAAAGTTTTCGTTCTCAGCTTGTTGGCCTGGAAGAACAAATCACACCCCCGGTTACTGCAGCTGCAGCGGGGAGCAGTCGTGACCGATGCGCAAACACTTGAGAAAGGAAAGAGCCCAAGAAATGAGCTTCCCCCAGGCCCTGCCGCCCGGGACGTGCTGCCCCACCCACACAAACTGGGCACCTCGGCTGAGAGCAACAGAGCACAAGGACTTCGGGCTCAGGGACTCATTTATACGGCAGGGGAGAGAAAAGAAAAAAAATCACCCGGGTTCATTAGAAGCCCCACAGGGGGCTGTGCGGGCTGGCTGCTCGCAGGCCTGGCTCTCACTGTCATTTCCCCGACACACGTTTCATTAGCCTTGGCAGCACTCAGCATCCCCTGGCTCTCACCACAGCCTCTTAACACTGAGCAGTGCAGTGCCCAGGGACATGAACAGCCCTAGCACAATGCCGAGCACGAGCCTGCAGCCCTCCTGCCGAGGCAGGATGGAGCACGACGGATCCTCCCAGGTCCCTCCCACCGTCCCGGGCTCTGCTACAGCCCTCCGCAGCCAGACCTTGCTGCTAGAGGGAGCAGGAGCAACTGCTGTATGTCCTCTGCCGACACAGGCCTGGCGTACGCTACAGAGCCGTGCTGGCTTCCCAGCGTGGACCAAGTTTCCCTTGCCAACAGGGCAGTGTCGACAGCCCCCCTGCTGTGCACGCAGCTCTGCCAGCAGGGGAGAGGGCTTCCACCAGCTTCAGCTTCTGCCATTTGGGCATGATGCCAGCAGACAGCCCCTCCTGTTGCCATCTGTCACGTCTACACAAGGGGACTTTGCTGACGTAGCTCTGGAGCCCGGACCAGGCCTCGGACAGCTCTGCATTCATCCCCGTGGAAGGAGCTGCTTTTTGCAAGCAGACGACTGACTGTGCCCCTTCCATGGCAGTCCTTCTGAAAGGGCCTGCTCCATAAAACACTGGTATGGCAGTTTAGTGCCCCTATAAAACAAGCTGCTGCAGCCATATATAAGGCCCAGTTCTGGAAAACAAGTAACTGCCCTGACAAGTGCATTTTTTAATAAAGCATTAGCGAGACGCTTCCAAGAATCAATTATTGGATCACTGTATTGTCATTTTTTTGCTGTTCTCTTGGCTTTTTTTATTAAATCATTAATCATTCCATGCAAAGTCTCATGGGAAGCTTTATTATGAATTCTGGTCACGTGCTGGAGCAAGAAAGTGCCAAAGAAACACACAAGTGTTGGTCAGGAGCAGGCACGGGGGAACAATGTGGGCATGTACTCTGCTCCCAGTGGAGCTCATCAGAGCATCCCAGCTGCCTCCCACCTCTGAGCTCGGTCAAGCCGCTGCTTCGTTCCAGGGCCTCTCGTTAGCATACTAAGTCCGGAGGAGTTTTGCCAGGAAACCGTTTCAGGAGGAGCTCATTTGCACGCAGCTTGTTGGGAAGGCCGAGCACGTCCCATTGCAAAGGTTGTCCCATCATTCAGTCTAGCACCAGAGTTGGAGGAAGCTGCTAATTGAGAGGTCGAACCGAGGCAGCCCAGACCGCAGCCCGCCGTGCACTCGGCGGGGACAATCTAGAGCAGATGCCAAAGCCTCTCCCCACTGCCATCAGTCCGGAAAAGGACATCTTTCTCCTACCCTAGCAGAGGGGCACTGAAAAGCTCCCTGCCATCCTGTGCCCAGCAGGATGCTTTCAGGTCATGGGAATGGGAAAGGGCCTTGGGCTGTGTGGACGACATCCTCGGCTCGTTCCATCCGGCTGCTTTATCAGCGCTCAGCAGAAAGGCACTGGGGGCTGGAGAGAGCTCTGATCCAGCACCCTCCAGGGCCTGGCAACGGGAGTCCTTCCACTGACTTTGCTGGGCTACCAGCAAGCTGAATCCTCAGCAGCCCGGGCGCCACCTGACTGAGTCTGTCATCCGGCACTTTGCTCATGCACTTCCCCAGCTTTGTCCCCAGTGACTTGAACAGGACAGAGCCACACACACATGCATCTGCCTGGCTGGGGACAGCCCGCTTTGAACATTCGTGCCCAAGGGCTGGGGCTTTGACGAGCTGGGACCAGAGGGAGAAATCCAGGCACGTGGGCTGCCCTCTTTACGCCTCCCCGCAGCGCCCCCGCCCTCAATATCTCCTCAAAGCTGGGTTTTCTAGCGGCTCCCCTGTGACAGTGTTCGTCAGGGCAGCAGGGCTGTGTGATTTCACTGCAGGTCTCATGAGACTTGGTGCTGTGCCGGTGGCTTGGAATTGGGGAAATACAGCATGTTTTTGGAGTAACTCTCCAGCCCGTGTAGTTGCAGCAGAAACTGTCCCCCATCTTTTCTCCTGTTCCAACACCTCAGTATTTCTGGGGAGAGAATGCAGTCAATCCACATTTGCAGGCTAGGCACGCACCAATAATACTGGGGCAACCAGAAGAAAATCCAGACCCTGCCAGTGCACCGCTACAGGGAAGAGCAGATGGGGAAGGTAGGAGGGAAGTCCAACAGAGCTGCTACAGAACGGCTCGGAAGCTGGAAAGCATTCAGAAAATGAACGTGCAAGGCATGGAACTGCAAAACCTGGCTGCGGCAGCAGTATATTGGGGTGCAGATCGTCCCTAGCCCAGGCCTGCTGCCAGGACACCTCACCGCAAGCCCCCCAGTTAATGCGGCTGCTCTATTTTCGGAGGCATCACGTCACGCTACTGGCGAAGGCTTGGCACGGACAACGGGGCGATGCCGGAGCAGCGTGACGTGATGCAGCTCAAAATAAAAGCAGCAGACCAGGCGCGTTGAGGCTTTAGCGAGCAGCGGGAGGGTGCGAATTGAGCTGCTTGTTTTTTAAGCTTTCCAAGTAACAGGAGCAAAGGAGCAGAGATGCAACCTGTGAGTGAGCCCGAGAACTGACAAATGCCACCAGGAGCCGCACGCTGGCCTGAGTTCATCTGCCCAGGGTTTCTGCCTGCAGATGAAAACATCCTGCTTGGAGCTGAAGGAGATGGGCACCGTTAGGGAGGCGGGCAGGTGGAAAGAAAGAAAGAGCAGGAGAAGGAGGTGAAATAGCCTCATCTGCATGCTCTCCTTGGCTCCCAGGTCCTGCTGGAAAGCCATCTGCTGCCTGCTAGGTCAGGGGAAAGGCTGCAGGGAAGATTTCTTCCCAACAACAGCATTTCCCAACCTAAGATCCTGAAGCCTAGCGTACCCAACACATCTCAGTCTGCTGCAGAGGCAAAAACTGCATGCCGAGGGGCAGGAAGGGGAAGAAAATCAGCAGTTGACTGAGCTACTTTGCCCAACAGGATCTCCGGAAGGAGAGTGGGGGTTCATGCCCCCAGTCCATCACCTCTCTCCAGGCTCCCTTAGCCTGATGCAAACGGCTGCCCTCAGCGGCCTCCTAACAGCGTCGCTCAATCACAGCGCTGTACCTCGGAGCAGAGGCACCTTCTGGGGGTTAAGAGGAGAGCACAATCCCAGGCTGAGGGATGATCGATCTCAAGCCAGTCTGTGCTCCCCTTCCCTACCAGCCGTCCTGTGATAGATCAAGCTCAACAGAACTTGCACTCCTTCCCTGCCGGCCTCAGCACCGCCGCTCCTGGGCAGGGAGGGCAGTGACACGGGGCTCAGGAGAGCAGGCCTACATGAGGGCTCGTCCATCGATCCCCCGCCCAGTGGGAAATGGCTCTGGCCATTTCTCAGCCTAATGAGCTCTGATGAAAGCAATAGATAAAGGCTGTCAGCAAACAGTCCCACAGGGCCGTTGCATCCATCATCCCACCTGGGAGGTGAGCAGGGTGCTCCATGTGTCAGCACCTACAGGGTCCCTCTCGCCAGTCGTCGCCTTGCTGTAGTGCCTGCTCCTCTACACACAGGGGCTCAGGTTCCCTGGCAGGTCTCCGTCCCCTCTGAAGGAGGCCAGGACAAGGCTCCCGGTGCCACAAGAGTTTCAAACAAGCCAGTTCATGGTGAGAGCTCTGGGCAGGCACTGATGGCATTCTCGCTCCCTAGCAGGGCTCAGCGCTCTTCTCCGTTCTCTCCGTCCTTCAGCAATGGTGTCCTGGGCGCTGCCGCCAACACCTGCCCGTCAGAGCCGAAACCCCGGGAAGGGCTGGGGTGGACAGTTGCAGGCTTAAGGGGCACACCATGTGCTGTGCATTAGCACTCATTATCAGTGTACTTTGAAATCAGCCAGCTCCAGCAACCCAGCTGCATTGGGGCCAAATAGACAGGAGGGTGTGGAGACGAGGAGAGCACGGAGCAACTGCTGTCCACCACTCAGCCTGCACAACGCCCCTTACAGGACACAGGTCAGGGAGTTCTGCTTTCCCCCAGGGGCTCACGGCATGCGCCTGCTGGGACCTCGGCAGGGCGAAAGACCTCGAGGCGCTCCGGAGCACTCAGCAGTTCGGAGACAGCAGGCGCAATATCCCCAGCAATACGATAAACCACATGTGACTGCAGGAAAGGCCTGGGAATGTGCACCAAAGTCAGTCCAGCAAGCCCGAGGAGGGGAGTGAAATACAGCACTGGGGGCAGGCCCTGCTCCCAAATTCAGAAGGAGCAAGTCTAGCAGACCCTCAGACCTTAGAGAGGACTCAGAAGGCAAATATGAGCCCTGGAGAACGTGTGTATCCCTGCACAGACTGTCTTCTCTTCCAGTCATGAGTCCTTGGCACTCCTGTGGCAGCCCCAGGCGCTGCTCATATGGAAGAGTGTCCATAAGAGAGGACCCCTATGTATGCTTAAAGCTTCACTTAATGTGACTGAGCAAGCAGAAGCAAAGAGAAGCAATGCCATTAAAGCAGTGCAAAAGGGTAATCAAGCCACTTGAAAGGCCAGCTACACTGGCAACACTCTACCTGGTCAACACCCCTTTGTAGGCACCCAGGTAAGGAGCCCAGTGGGACAATCCATCTCCTCTATCACACCCTGCCTCTTCTTTCCACCGCCTGCACCCCAGCACACTTGCAAAGGAGAAGGGGTCATTCGCATTTGGGGGCAGAACAAATGCCCTCCAAGATCACGTTCCACTGCCCACTCA